AACCAGAATACAGAAGGGGCTCAAATGACTCAATTGCAAAAAACCAAATAATCAGATTAAAAAATGGCCAAAGATCTGAGTAGACAATTCTCAAAAGAAGACATACAAATGGCTAATGGGTATATGAAAAAATGCTCAATATCACTAATCATCAGAGAAATGCAAATCCAAAACACAATGAGATGTCATCTCACCCTAGTTAAAATGGCTTTTATCAAAAAGACAGGCATTCATGAATGCTGGAGAGGATGTGGAGAAAGGGAACTCTTGTACACTGTTGTTGGGAATGTAAATTAGTACAGCCACTAGAACAGTATGGAGGTTCTTCAAAAAACTAAAAATAGAACAACCATAATCTAGCAATTCCACAACTGGGCAATTCCAAACAGAAAGGAATCAAAATATCAAATAAATATCTGCACTCCCATGTTTATTGTAGCACTATTCACGATAGCCAAAATATGAAATCAACATAAGTGTCCGTCAGTGGATGAATGGATAAAGAAAATGTGGTATATATACTCAGTAGAATATTATTCAGCCATTAAAAATAATGAAATCCTGTCATTTATAGTAACATAGGTAGCATTGGAGGACATTCATGTTAAGTGAAATAAGCCAAACATGGAAAGACAAATATTGCATGTTCTCACTCATATGTGGGAGCTAAAAAATGGATCTCATGAAAATTATGAGATAAATTGGTGGTTACCAGAGGCAAGGAATGGTAGCAGGGAAGGGGGGATGAAAAGAGGTTGATTAATGGATACAAATATAAGGTCAGATAGAAGAAATAATACGTATTGATCAATAGATCAGTAAGGTGACTATAGTTAACAATAATCTACTGTACATTTCAAAATAGCTAGAAGAGAATAATTTGAATGTTCTCAGCATAAAGAAAAGATAATAATTTAAGGTGATAGAAATCTTAATTACCCTGATTCGGTCTTTACATATTATATGAATGTATTAAATCACTTGTGCCCTGAAAATATGTTCATCTATTATGCATCAATAAATAACTAAAAAAAAAAAAAAATAACTCCAGACATGGTCAGATATACTTCGAGAGGCAAAATTGACCCCAGTTGAGAGCCACTGTATTAAATAATCTATACAATCAATTTCAAAGTATAGAAAAAGTTGGAAATTATTCAACAAATTATACAGAGCTAACCCAATGGATAGTAAGGACAAGGATGGTGAAAGAAAAGAAAAATTATAGATCAATCTCAGTAATGAACATAGATGTAAAAATCTTAAATAATTAGCAAACCAAAGTTAGCAGTGTAACAGTAAAAGAATAATATATCATGGCCAACCCAAATGTGCATTGATGGTCCAGTATTAGAAAAATCTATCAATGTGATTCACTACAGTAACAGATTCATAAAATATTTTAAATAATTTAAAATAAAATATTTTTAAAAAATGATAAAGGGGCGATTTGTACTTTCATATATCAACATATTCATTTTTTTGCTTCTTTCATTGAGGCATAATTCATGCCCCATAAAATTTACCTTTTTAAAGTATAAATTTCATGCCTTTTAGTATATTTGCAAGGTTGTACAACCATTGCCGCTCTAATTCCACAACATTTTTATCACCCAAACATTTTAAAATATTATCAAAACACAGTAATTTTATCATTGTGGTGCAGTAAAAGACAAATTAATCAAAGGACTACATCAAAATAAAAAACTTATATATGACAAAAGACACTAACAAAGTTAAAAGACAATGACAGAATGAACAAAGAATTGGTATCCAGAATTCATAATATATAAAGAAATACATAATGACTCTTAAAAATTAATAAAGAGATAATAAAATGGGCAAACAATAAGAAGGCAATTTACAGGAAAGAAAAGGCAAAGAGTCACTAAACATAACAAGATGCCTGACCCCAGTAGTACAAGGAAATGCAGATTAAACCATTGAAATACCTGTTTTCACCTCTCAGATTAGCAGACATTAAAGCATTTGGTAATATCTAGTGAGGTCAAGAATAGTCAAAGTGTAAATTGGTACAACCGCTTCAGAGGACTGCTTCAAAATAAAAACGTGTATACTTAGCAATTTCACTTCTTGGCATCTACTCCATACAAATATTTGAGATGCTCGTACAGATACGTATGCCAGGAGGCATATACAAACATGTATAGTGTTTAAAGGGTACATGGAAACAGTAGCATCACTTGTTCTTTAAGGGAGGTTAACACTTTTTCTGATAGTCTAAAAGTGTGATAAGAGGGCAAAATTAAGACCACTGTCTGTTATAACAAAAATAACTGAGATAAATTTTCCTATTAAAGCAAAGATATTTTCATTTTGAGTCAAATAACAAAAATCAGGGACTCTTCAAAATGACTCAGGGAGAATGAAAGACTTAGAACAAACATTAATAAAGCAATGGTTTAGATATTAAACAATTTAAAGTTAAAAGTGGAATATTAGCTCTTTCATATGTGTATAAAAAATTTTGATCTTTTAATCTGTAATTTTGCCTTACTGTGTTCAATTTGAGAAGTTATAGAGGATAGGGGGACATGGAAATCAGGTAATCAGTTGGAAAAATGGCAAGATTCACTTGATTAATCATGAATGTGAATGGTATAAAATTTAAAAAGGTTTACCTTAAATGTAGAAATACTGCCACGTATAGTTATTATGCTTATTAAAACCATCAAATTCCTTGACAGTCTTAAACATTTTTTGTTCCCCAGTATTTTACTTGATGTTTTTTGTATGTAGTGGTTTCAGTTAATGTTTGTGGTTATAGATATTGATAATGGTGATGATGAGGTGGATGAAATACTAAGGAAATAAGGGAGTCCTGAGTAGCTATGGCAAGTAAAGAAGTCTTTATTGTTTTTTGTAGCCTAGTCTAATGCTTAATTTCTTTCTTTCAGGTATTTAATGATTCTGCTGTGAATAAGCATTCAAAATGTTCACAAGTTATGGCTATAAAAAGTTCACAAAATTTTATGCAATTCAGGTA